CACACACAGCCCGTCCCCCGCGTCCGAGGCCCCGCACCCCGCACCGCCATCGCCGGACCTCGCGGGAGATGGAGTGAGTAGGCGCGCGCGGAGGCCCCACGTCCGCCCGTGTGTGCGCACGTGTGGAGTGGGGGGGGATGGGACCCCCGCGGGGCCGCCGGGGGGACCGGGAAGGGCTGCCCGGGGGTGTGGGGGGGGAGGCGTCTGGACGCGGCCAGCTGGGACCCGGGGTGGGGTGGGGGGCACCGGGCAGGGCCACGCGCCCTGAGGCCTCCCCTGGGCGGGGGCGGCCCGGGCCCCAGCTTCGTGGGGAGGGGGGAGGCTTCCAGCCCGCAGGGGAGTGGGGAGGGGGGGACACTGTCCGGCCAGGCACGGCCACCTGTAGGTGGTCAGCCCCCGGGGGAGCCCCAGCGACCCCTTCCCGGATCGCAGGGGTGCGGGCCTGGGCTCCCCCCGCCCTCCCCTGCGGCGCAGGGTCCCCCCCACTCCCTCCCCGTGAAGCGGGCGGCCTGCGCCCCCGAGGTTGTCTTCAGTTCCCACTGATGGCAGGTTGGAGGGGGGGGCGATCTCAGCCTACGGTGTGGGAAAGGAATCCCAGCCGCCCCCGGCCCGCCCCGGGAGGACCCCAGAAAAAACCGGGGGGTGGCAGGTAACAGGGTCGAAAGCTGCGAATCTCTGAGCCCCCCCCCGCCCTCCCCGCCTCGCCTGGGGCCGCCCGATGTGCGGGGATCCGACAGCAGACCCCGGGTGGCCCAGGGCCCTGGTACACAGCAGGTGCCAAATGAGTGTGCGCCCCCCCCCGTGCCCAGCCCGGGTGTCCCCCTCCCCGGGACCCTCACTCCCACAGGTGGCCGGAGGGGGGTCATGGGGTGTGTTCACGGGCAGGCATGGGGGGGACTTCCTGGAGTCACACGGACCCCCCCCCAGCGTGGTTGTGACAAGCCAGCAGCGCCCCGTCCCGGGTGCCCTGTCCCCACCCCAAGCCAGGGCGCTCGGGACGCCGAGGTCCAGCCAGGCCAGCTTGGCCGGTGGCCGCTCCTCCCCCCCCCCCCCCCGCGCTTCCCCCTGGGTGTGTTTCCTAGGGGAGGGGGGCACCCTCAGTAGGGTGGGAGACACTCAGACAAAGGCTGGGCCGCTCCCCCACCCCGCCCCGGGAGTCTAGCCAGGGGCTCAGGGGAGCCAGGGCCCCGACTTGCCTGTTTCTCATCCCTAGCTTGTTTATCTGCTCTGCTTGGCTGGGCCTGAGGGAATCCGTCTCTAGGCCTCCTGGCAAGGGGGGGGGGGGGGCTGGGCAGGGTGTGGTCATGGGGAGGGGGCTGCCTGGAGGAGGCCACTCCAACCCAGGGTGTGGGCAGCTGATGGGAGGCATCTTCTCACTGGACCCTATTGTCTCTTTTCCCGCCACTTGGCACCCCTTTTCTTTTCCCACCCTGGTGATGCTCTGGAGGCCCAGAGATGGACTGTGGATACCTCAGAGTCACACAGCACTCAGCTAGTTCCTTGGTGTGATTTGTTGGTCCCTCCGTGTGTTTGTTTCTCAGACTCTTAGGTTTTCAGGGTGCAGCTGGGATATGGACTTAACTAGCTACGTAGGTGGGCAAACAGCTCTGTCCTTGGTCCTCCATTGTCATTGATGCTGCTCCGTCTGAGACATGTGTCCCTCACAGTTAGTTGTGGAGGTGTGCAGAGCAGACTTCGGCATGGAGTGAGGCAGGGGCTTACCTGTGCAGGCTTATCTGGCTCCATTCCAGTGGATTGCAAAGCCTGAGACATGGAAGATGACTGGGCTGTGGGACGGCATGGGGGTGAAAAGTTTAAGAAACGTGTTAAGGGCTGGGAATGTGGCTTAGTGGTAGAGTGCTTGCCTAGCAAGCATGAAGCCCTGGGTTCGATTCCTCGATACCACATAAATAGAAAAGGCTGAAGGTGGCACTGTGGCTCAAGTGGTAGAGGGCTAGCCTTAAGCAAAAGAAGCTCAGGGACAGTGCCCAGGCCCGGAGTTCAAGCCCCAGGACTGGCAAATAAATAAAAGGAAAGAAAGAGAGAAAGGAAGGAAGGCATTAAGAGCTTGATGCTGGTGTCTCACACCTGTAATCCTAGATACTTAGGAGGCTGAGATCTGAGGATCACAGTTCAAAGCCAGCCCAAAGTCTGTGAGACTCTTATCTTCAATAAACCACCAGAAAACTGAAGTGGAGCTGTGGCTCAAAGTGGTAGAGAGCTAGGGACGATGCCCAAACCCTGAGATCAAGCCTCAGTACCTGTGCCCCCCCCCAATAAATACTACTACTATTAATAATAATTTAACAGACTTTAAATACTGTTAACTTAAGGATGAAATCCATCCATTTCTGTTCATTTAAGAATATAATGAAGGGTCTGGGAAGGTGGCTCAGTGGTAGAGTGCTTGCCTCACATGCATGAGGCCCTGGGTTTGATTCCTCAGCACCACGTAAGCAGAAAAAGCCAGAAGTGGCGCTGTGGCTCAAGTGGTAGAGCACTAGCCTTGAGCTGAAGAGCTGAGATTAGCCAAAAGCTAGGCACTGGTGGCTCACACCTGTAATCCTAGCTACTCAGGAGACTAAGATCTGAGGATCACAGTTCAAAGCCAGCCGGGGCAGGAAAGTTTGTGAGACTCATTTCCAATAAACCACCAGAAAACTGGAAGTGGCACTGTAGCTCAAGTGGTAGAGCACTAGCCTTGAGCTGAAGAGCTGAGGGACAGCATCCAGGCCCAGAGTTCAAGCTCCACCACCGACCAAAAGAGAGAGAGAGAGACACTGAGATCTGAGGATCATGGTTCGAAGCCAGCCCAGGCAGAAAACTCCATAAGACTCTTATCCCCAATAAACTACTTAGAAAAAGCTGGAAGTGGTGCTGTGGCTCAAGTGGTAGAGTGCTAGCCTTGAACACAAAAAGGCTCAGGGACAAGGCCGAGGCCCTGAGTTCAAGCCCCCTAGGACCAGAAAAAAAAAAAGATTAAAAAAAAAGAGAGAGCGATGGCTTTTCAGGCTAGGTGGAGAAGGGGACTCTACTGGGGGAGAGTTGTATGTTTCTTTCCCTGAGGGAGACCTGGGGTCTGCCCAGCCCTTGTGGCCCAAATTACTGGCCCTTCCAGATTTTCCCTCCTCCCCTCCCCCTCTCTCCTCCTCCACCCCCCTTCCTCCCCCTCCCTGGGGAATTTCAGAGGGAAAGTCGCCATTGGGTGCTAACTGGGTCTCTGACAGCTCTTTCACGCATGCTAATCTCTCTTTTTCATGATAGGCAGGGCTGGTTGAAAGGCAGCATGGATCTGCTGATAATTGAATTTAATACCCCACTTTCTTTTTCTTTGTATCTCTTTTACCCAGGGTATCTGCTTGGGCAGCAACTTCTGGGTTTTCCTCCCTGTTGATTTTAACAATATAACCTTTCTCTCCCACTTGAGCACATTTACTTTGAATTAGGAATCTGGGTGGGTCTGTGGTGGTACTGAAGTTTGAACCTAGGCCAGGGGCCTTACACTTGACAGACAGGTGCTCTACCACTTGAGCAATACCACAAGCTGGTTTTTGTTGTTGTTTGGTACCCTTACCTAAGGTTTGAACTCAGGGCCTTAAGGCTGGTGTTCTACCACTTGAGCCTCAGTTCCACTTCAGACTTTTTGCTGGTTAAATGGGGAGGATGAGAGTCTCACCGACTTTTCTGCCCCAGCTGGTTCTCTCAGCCTCCTGAGTAGCTAGGATTACAGGTGTGAGCCACCTTTTTGTTTTAGTTATTTTTCAGGTAGGGTCTCTTGTTTTGTTTCTTTCCCCTCCCCCCCTCCCCCATGGCTAACCTGGACCAGTATCTTTCCATTTACAACCTTCTGTTTAGGTTGAATCACAGGTACAAGCCACCATACCCAGCTAACAAGCTAAGATGGGGTCTGGATAATTCCCTTCCCCTTCTCCCCTGAGCTGTGTTCAAACCTTGCTCCTTCAGATTTTTGTGTAATTAGAATTATGAACCTTTGCAGGTTACCAGCTGCAAAAAGGCCAGGGATGGGCTTTTTCCCGTGGGGATGGGGGAAAGGAGGTCATGGGGCTTAACCTCTGGGCCTGGGCACTGTCCCTGAGCTCTTCAGCTCAAAGCAAGCACTTTACCACTTGAGCCACAGCACCACTTCTGGTTTTCTGGTGGTTTATTGGAGATGAGAGTCTCATGGACTTTCCTGCCCAAGCTGGTTTGAACTGCAATCCTCAGATCTCAGTCTGTTGAGTAGCTAGGGTTACAGGCATGAGCCATTGGCGCCCGGCTGGATTTGTCCCTTTTAAGTTGCCATAGGGTCTGGGTAGGGTGTTTGGTCCCTTCCTGTGCCAGAGGGACTGAGTTGTTGTTTTTTTTTTTGGGGGGGGGTGGTCAATGTGTCAGCTAGGCATCAAGTATTAACTTGGTTGTTTTTATTGTCCTTCCTTGCTTCCTTCCTTGCTTCCTTCTTTCTTTCTTTCTTTCTCCTTCCTTCCTTCCTTCCTTTCCTTCTTTCCTTTTTTCTTTCTTTCTTTCCTTCTTCCTGCTTTCTTTTTCTTTCTTTCTTCCTTCCTTTCTTTCTCCTTCCTTCCTTTCCTTCTTTCCTTTTTTCTTTCTTTCTTTCCTTCCTTCCTTTCTTTCTTTTTCTTTCTTTCTTCCTTCCTTCCTTTCTTTCTTGGGCTGGTCCTGGGGCTTGAACTCAGGGGCCTGTGTACTGTTCCTGAACTTCATTTTGTTATGGTTAAAGCTCTACCACTGAGCCAAAGCTCCACTTCTGGCTTTTTCTGAAAAGGTTACTAGAGATGAGTCTCATGGACTTTCTTTCCTGCCTAGGCTGGCTTGTTGTTGTTGTTGTTGTCATCAGTCGTGGAGCCTAAACTCTGGACCTGGGCGCTGTCCCTTAGTTCTTCAGCCCAAGGCTAGTGCTCTACCACTTGAGCCACAGCACCACTTCTGGCTTTTTTCTGCTTATGTGGTGCTGAGGAATGGAACCCAGGGCCTCATGCATGTGAGGCAAGCGCTCTACCAGTGAGCCACCTTCCCATGGCTTTGAACCATGATCCTTAGATCTCAAGCCTCCTGAGT